AGCTTAGCATAAAGACTGGAAGCGAAGTCTTGAAATAGTTCAAACATGTAAAACCACGACTTGTTTGTTTTACATTTCTGTTTTTGTACAGATGATATAAGATATAGCATGTTAATCAGTGAGCTTTAGAACTTTATATGAAGACTTTTTAACTTGCCAGGCTAGCTGTTTCCCCCCGTTCCCACTCTTTATGCTAAGCTAAGATTAAAAACTATAACAAAGAGTATTAATATAATAATATATTACTCTATATTAATACTCTGTTTATCTGTTTGTGTTATTTCCTGGTTGGGACATGTGATGTCCTACCTGGGGGAGATGTCACAGCCCTGCTGCATGAAGGCCCCGAGTGAGAACCAGAGAGAGTTAAAGATCCCAAAGTCATTGCTGTGTTCTGGAGCCTCTTTTTCTTTCTGCTGGTTCTGGTTCTGGTTTTGGTTCTGGTTCTGGGAGTACCCTGAGGAACAGAATCAGATCAAACAGGAAAAAACAACAACGCATTAAAATCCAGTTTTACATGTTACTGAATGAAAGTAAACACGATTAAAAAAAGAGGTTTCAATGGCTTAATGATGATGATGATGATGATGATGATGTACCTGGAGAGTGAGCGAGCTCAGAGGATGAAGTCGGCAGAGCTCGTCGAGAGGCAGAGGAAGGCAGAGTTTCATCTTCATCATCTTCATCTTCACCCTTCCACTCATAAGGACTGAAACGACTCACCTGAGACAAAAAGTACACAGCTGCCTGCAGTAAATGTACACAGGTAACAGCTGTATGCAGTAAAAGTCATTTTTCACACACAAACACACTTATAAACACACACACATACACACTCACCAGGAAGAGCACCACGCTGACCCCGATGTAGGCGAAGACGATGCACATCCAGATCTCGTAGGCCAGCGGGTCGAGGAAGGAGAAGACGCCCGGTTTGGACTTTGTGGGTTTCTTGATCATGATGGAGATTCCCAGAGACATGAAGGGTTTGGTGAAGTCGATCACCTGCTCTCGCACCAGAGTGATGGTGAGCGGGGCGACTGCCACGTCGGCCTTCTGCAGAGAGAGAGAGAGAGAGAGAGAGAGAGAGAGAGTTACAGATACAAACATCACTTATTTATGCTTGTGTGTGTATTAGTTTTACTGCAGTGTATTCTGTAACCTCACAGACTCATGTTGGTTGATGATGTGCTCCTGGATTAGATCATATTTCGATAAATGGACAAACGAATGAATGAATGAAAACTGATATTAATATTAGTAAAAGGATGAAACAAAGTCTCTGAGGTTTCCAGAACCTGCCTATATAAGGTTGGCAAGTAAAAATAAACAGTACGAGCACAGCGACTGTTGACTGTGGTGGATTATTCTGCTCTGCCCCCTCTGTGGTTGAGATCTGGTCACACTCACCCCGTACACCAGTTCTCCCACCATGCCGTTCCACATCTTTGTTTCGGCGTCTCGGGCGCCGTACTTGCCGTCGCCCACCAGCTCGAGCCGGTAGACGAAGCCGACGTGTTTGGCGATCTCTGAGGCCAGTTCGGCGCAGTAACCTTCGTACCTGTCGTTTCCTTCAAACTGCTCGTGGTTCTTCTTCAGCATCATGTACGGGGCTTCCTGTAAGGAGACAGACGGCGTTCACATTAAAAACCACAGGAAGGTGAAGGTACGTTGTGAATGGCGTCACGTCTTCCCAGTCTTACCAGGATGGTGGTCACTACGTATGTTCTGTTCTGCAGACCGTGGAACTCCTCCACCACCGGCCGGTAGATGTTGGTGTTCACGTAGCCTCTCCTCTCGTTCCAGAAGCCGATCTGAACACACAGCAGCAGAGTTACACTACAGTACCGTCATCTGTGTGTCCATCTGTGCTGTTTCTACTCTGTTACTCTCCTCGTCTGTCACTTCTGGTTTTGTTTTAAAGTTTTTTTCCCAAGTGACGAAAAACAAAAGATCAGTTTTCCAAAATGCTAACCCTTGACGAGGATCAGAGGAAGGATGAGCGGTGACGTATAGTTTGGATGTTCTGAAGTGGGGTGTATAGCAGGATACAAGGTTATAACACAGGATTGTATAATGATGTTCAGGTCATAGTTCCCTTTATGCAACTCGTAAAACAAAATACACACACACACACATATATATTACCGACAGTAGACGGCGGTCAGCATGCAGCCAGTTTGGGGAAGCAGACGGGGGCAGTAAAGCAACTATACCATTATTCTCCTATGGTACGGCGCCTTACATGCACTCTTCCATCATTGTTTTTGAAGTGAAGTTAGAGTTTACTCATCTAG